CAATAAAAATAAAATTTCGGATAAATATCAAGCTAAATTGAAAGATGCTGAATTAAAATTTGTCGTTGCTGGCTCACATAGTTTCAATTCATTAGAAAATAATGGAATATTGGAATTATTACAAGTAAGAATTGAAATTGGCGGTCATTATGGACTAATGGATGTGCATGATGTATTTTATGGACGTAAAACAATTCGTGAACAGTTGTTATTAAAATTTGATACATATATTAAATCGATTAGATCGGTGCTTAATGAACCAATAAAAGAGCATTGTTTGGCAGCAACGTGTGATTTATGGACCGATGATATGGTAAAAAGGTCGTATTTAGATTTCTTTTTAGATGAAGCCGATATTGTTGATCTCATGAGAAAATTTTCATTAATATTTGATCATTTAGAATTTTCGAATCATCCACGCTACAAAATATGGTTCCTAGTTATTATAAAATGGCTCATTCTTGTCGGATTGAAAAAAATGCACCACAACAGAAATTAATCATTAACGCATTGAAATCAGAAATTATAAAGGCTTTAGGCGATAAATATTGGCCTTCAATAACAACATTGCATTGGATCGCAATATACCTTGAACCCACATTCAAACATCTGGCATTTGTTAATGACAAAAAAGATTCTGAAATGCGTATAAATGAGATACGAAAAGGATTACATGTCTTGGTCAATGATACATTAAAAATGAATGATGATGATCCAGAAGTACTAACATCATCATCTTCATTTGTCGTTAATTCACCACCATGCAAAAGACGTAAAGATTATCCTTTTGCCGATATTCGTCAACAACAAATGATAACAAGTCCGATTTTATCTTCGTCGAATGGGATAACCCGAGCAATGAAAACAGAATTAGATCGACAAATACAGTTCTATGAAAGTATGACGATGATTCCGGCTTCAGAATATGATCACAATCCTTTATCGTTTTGGAAAGAACAACAAGATAATTTAACAATGTTAGCTAGAATAGCCAAATCAGTTCTTGTTATACAAGGTGAGTTTATTT